CTTGTTGCCCAGATGTGCTGGGGCTCATCAGCACTTTATACACGCGGATCACCACCCTTGTTGTGCCCGGATGCTCGGGTCTGGTTCCCTGCAGTTGAGAGTTGTGGAAGGATTTCTTGGCCACTCATCAACCCAGCGACCACGCGTACAGCAGGGCTCGGTCGAGGCCCAGCTTACAGGACTTGGCTGACAGTAGCAGGCGTCGATTGGACCAAGTGCTCTGAAGGTTGCCTGTCTTACTGCATCTGACGTGAGACACGGATTGATCGACAAGGCAGGAAACGGAGGGTTTTCTACCTACCATACAGGTACTTTGGGCAGAATAAGTCGCCGAAATACGACTAGATTGCGACGTTGCCGATCGGAACGATCGCACATGTTTTATGCTAGAGAGCGGGGGCATGTGTCTCAGCAAGAGCGTGAGGAGAAGGTTTCCGTCTATTCGTGTCAAAGGCTGGTAGTTCATGATTTGCGCAGGGAGGTTACGTCGTTTATGCACGATGTCACGTTGGCGGCATTCGTTGAGAGCCCCGGAGCGGATGGGGCGCAGACTGTTGGAAGTTTGACCCGATTCATCTCTGATGGTGCAGCACGCTTTGAATTCAGAAACATGTGGTTGGATAGGAACAGTGCTCGCGGGGGTAGTTGAGCAAGGCACACAGTAGAGACTACCTAGGCCTTGGTAGCAAACGCGCTTGGGCACCTACTTGGCACGTCGAGGGTAACCTGCCTGCCCAGATTCATATCAAGATCTATCTAGTCCTTTAGGAATGGAAGAAGCAGCTCCAGGCGTCGGGGCCCCAGCTATGGACATCGAACCGGATCTGTGCGCGCTCCAGGCTCCGACGGTATTCAGTCAGATCAGGAAATACATAAAGCCACGAGGGGTTGTGAATGAAGATCAAATGAGATGGCGGCCAACCTCACGACTGTTCACGTCTTACTGTGTACATGTACGTCGACACAGTCAATGGCCCGTTGTGGTGTGCTGCCAAGCTCTGCGGAGGGAAGCCAAGCCAGCCAGGTACAGGGACGACAAGTATAGCTGGACCCAAGCAAGGCTGTCCTGGCTCTACTGCAAGAGTAAGTGGGTTTGCTCTGAGCGGAGGATTGCTCACTGATGCCTGGAAGCATGTTCGGGATGCGCAAGGTGTAGTCGTCTGGGCATCGGATTGGTCCTTCACTGGGGGTTCGCGACGTACACTATAATAGGGCACCTGGCCTCCGAACCCAGAACAAACCTTCATGTGGTCGCTATGTCGTATAATGGCAAGGATTCCCTATACCAAAGGCTGTATTTGCCCGCACTTGTAAACACAAGATTGGATTCCACCACAAGTTTGCACCATGATTCCCAAGCTGGAACTCATGTGATCGCCTTGAGTTGGTGGACCAAAGTCTAAAAAGCGAAACCGAGACGGGTGATGAATGCGACATTTGTATACAAGGACAGCATCCATGATCATGGTGCCTCGACTGGTGGACTGCCAGGATCTGATGGAGGTATGAGACTAACGGAGGATCGCCTGTTGTTTGATCGTAGGGACAAGAAGAGAGGACTAAGCGCAGCGAAGGGAAGGATTATAAAAAAGGTCAACGAACTACGATTTAGAAAAGGGCATCGAGTATTCTATTTTTTTGGAGACCCCCAAGAGACCAGCAGTTGATCCCTTCACTCGTTGCAGAAGATTCCTTGACATGAACATTGTATAGATCGTATAATTGGAAGGCGTGGTCTTTGACGTGAAGCAGTCGTCGTTATGCTACAGTACTAAAGCGTGGCAGCGCATCCACGATGATGCGCACTGGTTGGTCAATTGATGTGATCCCAGGCCAAACAATTTGACCAACTCCAAGCGATCAGGTGGGTGACAGTAAAGAACGCAAACGTAGTATGGACAAATGCAATTCTGCCACCTACACGATAGCTACCGAAATGCCTGCCAAGGGAGTTCTCATATCTGCACGACCGTGAAGAAGCCCCTAGGCTATGTGCTATGGAGGACCTGAAAACCCTGGACGTCTGTGTTATTTACTGGCACCCTCTTGACAATGTATATCAGGATTTTGGCGAGCTGGAATACCAGGGCATGTCTCGACATCACAACATGCCAACGCCTTGCCAACACACTCGCTGGACACAGATCTCGGGGCATCTCTGGGACATTCGGGGTAAAGGCGCTCGAGGGAACCCACACAGTGCATCGAGTGCGCGACAGGCTGTGGGAACTGTGGCCTCGGGACGCTGCACTTCATCTCCACCTTCACCACCTCACCTCCCTAGCATCTCGACCAGCGACTGTGACCTCACTCTTCATCGACATTCGCTGGAGCATAGCACGGCCATCTCCACCGCAGTCTTTTCCACATGGACACATGGAGCGAATCAGCATCCCTTAGCTCTCGACCCCAGATTCCCGAGAGCGTCTCGCAGCATGGCCGTCAAGAACAGGCAGCCGAGCGGCTCTCGCAGCCCCGATCGTGACGGACATGATGGTCAGGAACCGCTGATGCCCGCCGACTTTGTCGACGAGCGGGCGCCGCCCGACGGGTACGCCGACGCCTCGGACAAGCAGACGACAGGCGGCGAGGCGCGCTGCTTCGTCGTGACGGCGCAAGACAACGCGCGCGTGCTGCGGCGCATCGACCTCTACGTGCTGCCGCTGATGCTGGCCGTCTACTTTCTGCAGTCGCTCGACAAGACGACGCTCGCGTACGCGTCCGTGTTTGGGCTCATCGAGGACACGGGCCTGCAGGGCGACGAGTACTCGTGGCTCGGCTCCGTCGTGTACGTCGCGCAGCTCATCATGCAGTTCCCGCTGGCGTGGCTGCTCGTCAAGATGCCGCTCGGGCGCTTCACGGGATGCATGGTGGCGCTCTGGGGCGCCACGCTCGCGGCCATGGCGGCGGCGCGCTCGTTCCGGTCGCTGCTCGTGATGCGCTTCCTGCTGGGCGCCTTTGAGGCGAGCGTCGCGCCGAGCTTCATCGCGCTGACGCAGATGTTCTGGCGCCGCCGCGAGCAGCCGCTGCGCATGTCCTTCTGGTACGCCATGAACGGCTTCACCGCCATGTTCGGCAGCCTCATGACGTGGGGGCTCGCGCGCATCCCGTCGACGCTGCGGCCGTACCAGGTCATCTTTCTGTTCTTCGGCCTCGTCACCGTCGCCTTTGCCGTCGTCATGTTCCGCTGCATGCCCGACACGCCGGCCGACGCCCGCTTCCTGACGCCGCGCGACCGCCGCATCGCCGTCGAGCGCCTGCGTGCCTCCCAGGCGGGCGCCAGCAGTGCGCGGCAGTGGCGGTGGGCGCATGTCCACGAGACGATCCGCGACCCCAAGACGTGGCTCTGGTTCGGCCTCATCTTTAGCATTTCGTACGTCTGTCCTGGTGGTCGTTTTCGGTCTCTCCTAACCCCAAAACAACAGAGTCCCCTCGGGTGGTGTCGGCAGCTTCGGCCCGCTCATCATCGAGTCGTTCGGCTTCGACCCGTTTACGGCCATTCTCTTCAACGCGCCGTTCGGCCTCGTGCAGCTCGTGTCGACGGTCGGCGGCGCCCTCGTCGCGCAGCGGCTCCGTCGCAAGGGCCCCGTCATCGCGGCGCTCTGCGTGGCGCCCATTGTCGGGTGCTACGTGCTCATGACGACGCCGCGGTCGCCGGACCGCAAGGCGACGCTGCTGCTGGGGTACTATTTCATCTCTGTGTACCCGGGCATGAGTATGTTCTTTCTCTCTCTCTCTCTCTCTCTCTCCACAGTAATCAAGGAAGATGCTGACGGACAGTCCCCCTGATGTACTCGTGGTCGGCAGCCAACACGGCCGGCGACACGAAGCGCAAGTGCAACGCGTCGGCCATGTTCGTGGGCCAGTCGCTCGGCAACATCATCGGCCCGCTGCTGTACCGGCCGGCCGAGGCGCCCGAGTACTACCGCGGGCTCTGGTGGAACCTGGTGCTGTACCTCGCCGTCGTGGGGCTCGTCGGCGTGACGAGCGCGCACGTCGCGGCGCTCAACGCGCGGCACGCGCTGACGCGGGTCACGATGGGCAAGCCGGCTGTCGTGCGGGATCGGAGCCTCGAGGAGCAGGAGGAGGACGGCGGGGCGGGCGAGGGCGAGGTCGAGGTCGGTGCGCGGGCGGTCGACGATGCGACGGATCTGGAGAACGAGGACTTTGTGTTTGTCTTGTAAACAATACATCGAAAGAGAGGTCGTCGAGAATGGACCGGGTTTCCCAGCAGCCGGGGGCAGACGAGGTTCCTGGAGATGAAATCAGGCACTTCACATGCTGCTGTGACTGCCTGCCGCGGCTGGTGCTGTCTGAGGGGGGGTGTGTTGTGTGACAGCAAGCGCTAGAGCGAGCTAACGTCGGCAAGGCTGACGGTGCCAGGCTGCCTCTGGGGGCGCTCGAGTGAGGCCTGGAAGGGACTTGCCTGGCAAAATGGGTACCTACCTACCAAGGTAGACACCCGGGGCACCTGCCTACCTCCCTATGGTAGGTACATGTAGACATCCAAGGCACCTTGGTACCAGGCAGGGAACTTGTCCCAACAAATTCCAGGGCCCTTCCAGGGGTCTACAGGCAGTCAGTCCCAGGGAGTCCAGGGTCCAGGGAGTCCAGGGTCCAGGCAGTCCAGGCAGCCCCCGGCCTAGTGCCGTCTGCGCCACCGCCCCCAGGCCCATGGCTGCCAGCCTCAAGCCTCAAGCCTCGAGCTTCACGGCGCAACAGCACGCGACGAGCGCCTTCCACCAAGACGTGATGGTCCTGCGCTGCTTCGCTGCCATGTTGGATATAACCTGGGGTCTCCTCGCATGTTTTCAGGCCGTGTCATTTTCTTGCTCTTTACGATACGACATCATCACATCTGCTGCAGCATCACATCTGCTGCAGCATCACATCTGCTTCATCATCATCATCATCATCATCATCCCCGCGACATCACCCCATCTGCTGTATGACCCAGCAGCACCACCATCATCACCATCATCTAGCTGTTCCATACAACCATGCATCGCGAGCCGTCACCAGATGCTATGCCTCCCACACCCATGGCCGATGCACCTCCTTCTGCACCTCCCTCAGCGACGACACCAAGTGCCGTCGACCGTGCTCACTCCCCAGGAGCCAGCATCCACTCGGTATCTCAACCTCAGCCAGGCTCCCAACCCCAGCCTGACCCTCAACCCCGCCATATCCCCCGCCATATCCCCCTCCATGTCCCCCTCCATGTCCCCCTCCATGTCCCCCTGCCGCCCTATCCACACGAGCCCGACGTCCTGCCGCCCTACGAACCAGAGACCGACGAGTCAACGAGCCCCAACGATTTCCTCGACAGCCTAGACGCCTTCATCGCCATCTGCCCCGACCTCATCCTGCCCATCACGGCCATCCCGCCCGCGCCAACCTGGCATGGCACTTCTGTCCCAGCCGACCGCCCAGCCCGGCATGCCACCGACCGCGCCAACAGGAGCAACAGGAGCAGCAGCAGCAACGATCCTCCAGGCGCCCCCTCCCTTTCCCCCAACACCTACCGCCTCTGCAGCAGCATAGTTTACCACTTCTTCACGGCCATCGCCTCGCGCCAAGACGATGTCGTGCGCCTCTTCATCGCCCGCGGCCTCGTCTCCCCCGACGTTCCCTCCGTCACCGGCGAGACGCCTCTGCTAGCTGCCGTCCGCGCCGGCGACGGCACCACCCTCTGCACCCTCGTCGAGCTCGGCGCCACCGTCGACGCCTACGGCTCGACCCACGAGGCCGACGTCCACGACCCGCGCCGCCGCCGACGCGCGACCGATGCCCCGACGCGCCGCACGCCCCTGCAGTACGCCGCCGCCCTGGGCCGCCTGCCGCTCGTGAAATTGCTGCGCGAAGACTTTGGCGCCGACGACGCCCTCGTCGCCCCCGACGGCGAGATCGCCCTGCGCCTCGCCGCCCGCGGCCGCCACCGCGACGTCGTCGCCTACCTGCCCGCACGCCGCGCCGGCGCAGGCCTGCGCGTCAAGACGGCTCTGCGTCGGGGCGCCTCACGCGTGGCGCGCGTCGCGCGCGGCGTCGGCAAGGTCCTCTACGTCGTGCTGTGGCAGTGCCCGCTCATGCTGACGTATTATCCGCTGCGCGAGGCGTGGCGCGCGCGCCGCCGTTTCGCCGGCTGGGCGAAGCGCCAGATCGTCGAGGCGCCGCGGCGCGTGCTCCAGGCCATCAAAAAGACGCCCGACGCGGCGGTCGAGGCGTGCCGGCTCTGCGGACGCGGCGTGCGCGCCTTCGGCAGGATGCTCGCCAAAACGCCGGCGGCACTCGCCATTGCGTGGGCGTGGGTCGCGCGCGGCCTTCGCCGTGTGAGCGGCGCCGTGGTCGAGGCGGCCAAGCGGGTCGTCGGCGTGCTGCACACGGCGCTGGCCGCCGTCGTGGGCTTCTTCCGCTCCATCACGCCCAGGGACGTCTGGCACGGGCTCGTGGCTGCCTTGCGGGCTGTCTTTGTGGGGCTGCCGCAAGCCGTGTGGAGGTCTCTCGCCCGTTTTGGCCAGGTCAGCTGGGACGTGCTCACCAAGATGGCCGGCGACCTGGGCAAGGTTGTCTGGCTCCTCATCTGGTGTCTCTTCGCCATGCTCTTGTGGTTGCCGAAGCAGGGCTGGAAGATTCTGGTATCGTGCGCCAAGGTCCTCTGGGCGGCTGTCGAGGAAGTCCTCGTGCTGCTGAACCCGAAGAGAGTAGGCTAGTTCTCTGTACCATGTACAAGGCTGAAAGATAGTCTGCCCATGCATCGAAAAGTTGGCCCACCACGTTCGGAACAGGGGTCAGCGCCAAGTCGGCAGACAGCTAGGCAGACTCGCCTCGCCTGGCCCGTTGTTTGCAGAATCCACCCTCACCTACACTTCCGCCACACCCATGAAAGGCAAGCTCATTTTGAACCGTCATACTCTACCTTGTATCGGCTCAAACCTGATAAAAGTTGATGTGTCTTCAAATCCGTCGCCGATTATCTAGTACGTAGTACGCATAATTTCAAAGCCTTCCATCGAGCTGCGAGGTGGTGAGAGAGTTCTGAAGCTGGGGTGTCCGGACGATACCTGTGTTTGGCTTGACAGCCATCCAGCCCGTTCACGCAGGAATCCGGCCTTCGCGTGCAAGGTGCATGTCGAACGTGCAAAGCGACACACCCCGAGGCTCGAGCCTTTGACCAATACATCACGCCAGATCGGCGCCCAACGACCCATCAAGGCCAGGACAACGAGGCCACCCCTGCTCGGCGGGCAGACGGTTGCTCCCGCGATTGGGCTGTTGGGCGTCTTCCGTCGTCGTGTGGCGTCCCAGCTGATAGCTCTCCGGGCCTTGGCTTGTGTGGCCAGCGCTCTTGTATTTTTTCCACTTGCGTCCCCTCGTGCTGTGCTGGACGAACCCACTCTGTGACTCACTGGGCGCGCCTGTGCTCGTTCCCGTCGCGGCACTCCAGCCGTGCCGGTGATTGGTCTCTTCGATCGTGATCAGTGATCGAACGGAAGGGGGACCCTGTTGACAGGTTGACATGGCGAGCTCTGGCGTCGGCTCCAGTCGTCTGCGGCCCCGCCCTGTCTTGCTGCCGCCGTCACTGCCACTGTGACGAAAGAGCGGCAGGCTCTCGAGCGAGGCGGGAGACGGATGGACAGACGGGGGTGGACAGGTCGTTTCCAGGCACAGGAGCAGCAGGTATACCTGGGGGCCCTCCCCTCCGCCCTCTCGAAGACGACTATCGTTGTGTCCTATTTCGCTGCTACGAAGAGATGAAGAACTACCACTGCACCACCCGACGACGTCTTGCTCTTTTTTCATCATATTATTCGCATAGCGAGAGAGAGGGAAACAGCGAGAGAGAGGGAAACAGCGAGAGAGAGGAGAGCAGCGACGCAAAAGGAAAGAACGCGAGGGAGAGTTTCTGCATCTCGTGGCCGCCGGACGAGTCGACCGACCAACACCGTCTACGGCAGCCATGGCGCACACGGCGGCGGCGCTGCCGAAGGAGGTCATACTCAACGGGCCGGACGGGGCGTACACGTACACGCTGAGCCGCATTGACTTTCCGGTGCCGAAGCTCGAGGGCAAGGGCAAGGCCAAGGTCGGGCTCAAGAGGGGACGCGAGCCGGCCGGGCACGGCGTCCAGGGCGCGGCGGGGCACAAGGGCAAGCAGCGGCAACGAGAGGCGTCCGCGTCGTCGGAGGACGAGCGGCACGGTGTTTCTAAACGACCGAGGCAGCAGCGACGACAGCAGCAGCAGCAGCCCACAGAGAATGTAAAGGCTCGTCAGCCAGCCAAGGGCAGCCTTGACGTGCGACAGCCAGCCAAGGGCAATCTTGTGCGGCAGCCAGCCAAGGGCAATCTTCACATGCAACCACCAGCCAAGGGCCCCGTGCGGAAGATGGTCCCGACGAGGACAGAGACGCACCCGGGACCGACCAAGACGCAGCTGCCGGTGGCCAAGACGCAGCTGCTGCCGGCCAAGCCGCTCGCACGCCCGACCCAGCCCCGAAGACACGATTCCGAGAGGCCGCTGCCGTCAGCGCGGCCACCACCGACGAGGCCACCACCCGGCAGGCCAGGATCATCGGCAGGCCCATCGGCAAGCCCATCGGCAGGCCCATCGGCAGGACCATCGGCGGCGGCGGCGCGGTCACCGTCCCTGAGCCAGGCGCCGTGCGACCACTACAGCATCAGCTCGGACGCGTCGACGCCGAGCCGCGACCTACCGCCGCCCAAGGACGAGATCCTGCGGGTCAAGGGGCAGATCTACCGCAAGCCGCAGGACTTTTGCAACAACCAGAAGATCGCGTGCCTCGACATCTTCCACGAGGCGTCGCTCGCGTGCCGGCGGGCAACGCCGAACCAGGCGCAGGAGCGGGCGTTCCTGCACGGCCTCTTCGAGAACGGCTGGCGCAGCGAGCTGGAACCGCCGGCGGCGCCGAAGCTGGCGCGGCGGCAGGTGACGCGGACGCGGCGCGAGATTGGCATCATCAAGGAGGACGTGCTGCCGACGCAGAAGGTATTTTTTTTTTCCTTTTCTTTTTTTCTTTTTCTCTTTCTCTTTCTTTCCTTCCTTCTTTTCTTTGCATCTCTTGGGCGTCCCCCCGCGTCGTTCAGCATTGACAACGCACAGGGCAAGGCGCAGAGCGACGTGCGGCGCAAGGGCGCGTCCGTGTTCGCGCGGATCCGGGTCAGCGACGACGGGCGGCTGGCGTGGGGCTACAGCGACGCCAACAACCGGCCGGTGCGGTGCCAGCACGTGGCGTGGGGCACGGAGGAGGAGGGGGCGCGGGCGTACGAGGAGGCGATCGCGGCGTGGGACAGGGCCGAGGTCGAGCGCGTCACGGGGTTCAACATGGAGCTCGCCGTGTACCTGGCGCGGCTGTGGACGGCGCACTGGACGCGCTGCGGGTACCCGACGCGGGTGCCGGTGCGGCACGGGGGCGCGGGGTTTGCGGCGTTGGTGAGCATGGCCGAGCTGGTGCGGCGGTGACCTGGCCACGAGCTGGTGCTGGGTGATGGGCGGGTTGCTGCGAGGCGGGTTCTGAGAGGAGGGTTGCTGCGAGGAGGGTAGGAGGCGAGGAGGCGAGGAGGCGAGGCTGAGGGTGAAGAGTTGGGTGGTCTTCAGGGCAGCGAATTCACAGCAGGGACCTTGAGCACCAAGGTCCCTAAGGCACCTAGAGTCCCCAAGGCACCTACCTAGGTAAGGTCCCTAGGGTACCTACCTAAGGTGCCTGCCCTGGCTGTTTGGAAGACCCCTGTCACGCAGAGATCCATTGGCTGCCGTCGCTCGTCACGGCTGGATCAGGTAGAAAGCAAGCCCGCGCTAGGCCGCAACGGGGCGTGAGTAAACAAGACCTGGCCTGCGCCTTCGGTACACGCCGCTGGCATGCCCCGGCGTCCGAGCCCCAGGTACACGCCGCTGGCGATGCCCTGGCTGATGCCCTGGCGATGCCCTGATGCCCTGGCGATGCCCTGACTGATGCCCTGAGACAGCGGCCCTCTGAGACGGCCCTCTGCGTCCCTGCCTGGCTCCCCTGTTTGGCTCCCCGCGGCAGGCGTGTCGGTGCGCGTTGGGGTCGAGCATTTGTTTACTTCGACTGCATCTCGCCTCCGCCTGCCTCTTCTTTTATTCTTCCTCTCTCTCACATCCTCAGCCATCGACTTGAGGCCTCGACTCTGAAGCATTGACGCCAGGCCTCGACTCTGACAATTGATGCCAGGCCTCGATCACAATTGACGCCAGGCCTCGAGCTGACAATTGACGCCAGGCCATCCATGGTCGACGCAGCCTCACCTTGCTTCTTCTCGCCACCCACCCTCGCTGCCTATGACACCACCAACGCCTGCCCCTCGCCATCATCACCAGCGCCAAACCGCCACCATGGACAGTGATCTCCCCATTGCCCTGCGACGCACACGTCGAAGCACTGCTGGGCTCCGAGCCGTCCATGGCCCCTCTGCAACGTCCTCGACCGCCAAACGCCGTGTCCGCTTCTCTGATCCAGGCCCCATTCTCACCCACGCAACCCACGCCTCGACAGCTTCCTCCTCCTCCTCTTCCTCCTCCTCATCCTCGGCATCTTCCTCCTCCTCCACAGGCCTCACGCCCATGATTCGCCGCACATCTCTCGCGCGGGGCGTCACGCCAGCAAAGCGTCGCCACTCCACGCCCGCCCGCACCACTGCATCCGGCAGCGGCCTCGCCGCCGCCCCGGCCGCCTCGTCGCCTCTGGTCCGCGAGGTCCACTTCGAGCCGCTGCGTCAAGTCCTCGACGGCCGCGTACAGCGCCGCCTGCGCCGCAACGGCCTCAGCGAGGAGATGAACGCCATCCAGGACGAGAAGAAGGCCGCCGCCCGCGCCGCCCACGCCGAGATTGCCCGTCTGCGCGCCCAGCTGCGTGACAAGGATGCCGAGATTTACCAGCTCCAAAACGCCACCATCATCCTCGACACGGACAGGATATGGGCCCTCGAGAAGGAGCTCGACGACCTCAAGGACCAGCTCGACAACAAGACGGTCGAGAACAGCCGCACCTATGCCTGGACGCTGGCCGCCAAGGACCCTTTTGCCGATGACGGCATGGACACGGCGACTGACGACGACGATGATGGCGACGACCGCTTCGGCGACGACCGCTTCGGCGACGTGACCATGGCCGAACTGGCCTGCAGCACGCCGACCCGCGCGAGGACCTCGTTCCCGACGCCGCCCCTGACGAGCCCTGCCCTGCCGAAGACGCCCTCGGCCTGGCGCGCCGCCATCGTTCCACCGCCGACGCCCGACGCCCGTGACACGGCCGTGCAGGTGTCGCTGCTCGACCCGGCGAAGCAGTACCTCGAGGACGAAGTCGACTCGATGAGGCGGGAGATACTGAAGCTCACAACCACCCTCGAAGCCTACACGGCGCTGACGTCGCGCCTCGCATCCCGCCTCTCTGCCTTTTCACCACCCGACTCACCCGCGACGCCCCAGTCTCCTGCGACGCCCACAGACCGGTCCACGCACCACGAATCCCCGGCCACACCCGCAGACCACCCCCTCGAGGCCCAGCTCGCCCACCTCCTGCGCACAACAGCCGACCGCTCCGCCGCCCTCATCACCCTGACATCCTCCATCTCGAGCCTCGGCTTCCCCGGCGCCGACGCGGCCGAGATCGTGGCCTCCCTCTCCTCGGCCTTCCGCACCGCCCGCCTCGAGCTCGAGTACCTGACGCCCGGCGAGATCGCACTGCCGCTCTCGGCCCACGGCGCCGAGGTCCTCGATCTCTTGCTGACGCGCCTCCGCGCCCTCGCCACCAAGGCGCGCGAGGCAGACGACCTCGTCGACGAGTACCACGAGCAGGAGCTCTCCCTGCGCAAGCAGCTCGCCGCCCGCGTCGAGGCCATGGACCAGCTCGCCGCCGAGCTCGCCGCCGCCCAGACCGCCCTCGCCGATGCCGACGACCTGCGCGTCGGCAACGAGCGCCTGCGCGGCGCCGCCGAGGGGTACCGACGCGATGTCGCCGAGCTCGAGACCCTCGTCGAGCGCGTCGACGGCGAGAGGGCCGAGGCCGTCGAAGCCAAGACGGCACAGGAGGAGGCCGTCGAGGCGCTCGAGGCGAGGCTCGCGGCCGCCGTCGACGAGATGGAGGCGCTGTCCGACCGCGTCGAGGCCGTCACGGCAGCCAAGGCGCGCGAGGTCGCCGCCCTGAACCGGCAGGCCGGCAAGGCGCTCGCCGTGCGGGACGCGCGCGTCGCCGAGCTGCGCGATGAGGTGGACCGGGTCAACGGCGCGCTGCGGGGTGCCTACGAGACGATCAAGGATCTCCGCGTCGACAAGGCCGGCGTCGAGAGGGACCTCGCGCGCGAGAAGGAGAGGGCCGAGGGCGTCATGGACGCCATGCGCGCCGAGCTCGAGAGGGTCGTCAGCGCGAGCCGCGAGATGCTGTCGCAGCAGCCGGCGGCGGGCGGCGATGGGGAGGAGCAAGGCGTGCTGTCGTCGCCGCTGAAGGGCGGCGTCGACGGCCGCCGCGGGCGTCTGCTGTCTGGCGACCTCGCGAGGCGGGCCTCGGGGCGGAAGAGGAGACGCCATGACAGCGGCATGGGGCTGCTGGAGGAGGATGAGGTGGACATTTGAGGTGGCATGGAGGCGGTTCATGTGCCGATAGGCCGTCGGTAGACGTATGTTCTTTGGATCTTTCCTTTTGTTATTCTATTTTGGCCTGCATACTTAGGCGTTGGAGCTAGACAAGTCATACGTATGTTGATGTAGTGTGTGTAAGCTGCCTTTCATGCGTTGCATGTGTGGTGCGGCGCTCGAGCGATAATTCTGCTGAGGAAGGCGCAAACCACTGAAATGCGTGCTATCGTCGTATACTCTCTTCAGTATAATGCAAAGCTCATTTGATAGAGTGAGGGGAGATATCTGCCAGCAACCCATCGCCACCGCAGCCCAATGTCAGACAACGCCGCGAACTCCCAGCAAAACCACTTACTCCACTACCCATCATCGTCAGCAACAACTCCCCCCCTTCGTCAGCAATGACAAGTAACCGGCCTTCGTCAGCAACGACAAGTGACCCTCGTCGGCAATGACAAGGGACCCTCGTCGGCAATGACAACCCCCTAGCCATCCTTCGTCAGCCAGAGGCAAACAACCGGCTTCCCCCCCGGCTGCCCGTTCCTCGTCTCGTCCCAGCCAATTTCCTTGATCGACTTCTTCATCATGTCCTTCTCGTCGCCGCCAAAGCTGAGCCCCTTGTACCAGCGGCCGTTGCCGGCCTGCGCAATCTCGTAGCAGCGGTTCTTCTTGGGCGTCGGCCCGGACGCGCCGAAGCCCTTGAGGATCTCGGCGAGCGTCGTCGTCACGGGCACGTGGCTCGCGTGGAACTCGACGCCCGTGCTCGGCGGCAGCTGCCACGGCGGCGTCGGCGTCTTGAAGACGTGGATCTTGGTGTGCGCCGCGCTGAAGAAGTAGTTGTAGCCCGGCTCGCAGCCGACGCCGCCCGACGTGTTGGCCAGGTTGGCGGCCGGCATCGAGGGCGCGAGGGCCGGGAGGCCTGTCGCGTCGCGGCCGTACGTGTTGTTGGCGCCGTTGGGCTGGTAGTAGGGGTACTGGGCGTGGGGGGATGGGTACGGGTACGGGTACGGGTACGCATACGGGTAGGAGGGCGGGTGGCCTGGTGAATTCTTGTGAGCATGGGGTTCCAACGGAGAGAAGGGGAGGGGGGTTGAGACGTACTGTAGCCTCCGTAGCCGCTGTACGGGGTGTGGCCGAGGCCGTAGCTGCCCATGCCGTGGTGCGGGATGTAGGGCTGCCCGGAGGCGTACATCTGGCCGCCGAGGGGCGCGTCCGGGGGTGAGCCGCCTTGGGCGTCGAGACCGAAGCGGGGGTTCATCTTGGTGGTGTTTGAGTGTTGTATGTCAGTTGGCATGTGGGCGCCAGGTGTTGACCCAGCGGCGTGTTTCCGAGTTGTAATGGGTGAACCAAGACCCGCTGGCCTGAGGAGGTGCGGGTGGATAAGGCGAGTATGGAGATCTTGCAGGGCGAAGAACCAGAGGTTGGTGTGTGAAGGGATTCAAAGTAGTGGCACTGGGAGGTGTGGAATCAAACCGGCGTCTTTGATTGCTACGTGCTGCTCGCACGAAATTGGTGTTGGCGTTGTTGTTGTTGTTCTGGGGGCGTAAAGTGGTGTCTGTGCAAAGGTTAGCAGACAAGAAGTCAAAGACAAACCACCATTCTTATATGAAAGACGAGAGGCGCAATAATTCACGATCATCGACCCAGTCTGTGATTCGAAAGTCGCCTCCTCGTGCCGACACAGTCGACGTGAATCAGTCGCAGCACTTGACTCACTTAAGTACAAAAGGTGATCAGGGGGCTGCTGGCCCTCGTCAAACTCACCAGTCTCAGGACTGTACCCTCGAGGGTCGTTGTGGATCGCAAAAATCTCCGTGCTCCAGACCTTGTGGTTGTCTTTGTCGTAGAACGTACCTACGATAAGCCAGGCCCAGAAGCGTGGGCGTGTTGACAAATACAGATACTGGCCGATGATGAGCTTCGTAGCGGGGTACGGGAGAGATGAACCCTGAGAGCCGGGTCTCTGGTGGGAATCCAGTTTGTCCGGAGGGTGCCTCGTGACACTCGTTCCCGTTTGATGATTGCCCGACTTGAGTCAAGTATGATTGGTGATGTAGTGCAAATGTACTGGTGTAGATCTCGCTGCGGCGTTGTTCGTCTTGGCAAACCAAGCACTCTGGTATGTCCGTATGGGGGCCGTAGTTAAATACTAGTGCAATACCCTGGAGGTTCATGATTCACGATACTGACAGCGCCTAGTCGTCCCACGAGAGCGTGAATCGGAGGCGCCTCTTTCTGGTTGGAGTTGACGGTACGAGAATCGGCGACTGCACTGACGCCGGAGGTTTGGCAAGTTTGGGCGAGATCTTCCGATGGTGAGCTTCGAAGACCTGACTTATTTGCTTCCTCTCAGCTGAATGACATGGTGATATGGCATGGGACCCCAACAAGCAGCGACCATAGGAGCAGCCGTGGTCCCACTTGACACTTGGCATTGCCCACCGGATGCCCTGGCGAGACCTTGTCAGAACCATCAGATCATTTTCTGTTTGTCATGGTATATTGAGGCATCGGACATGGCTGCAGCGAAGAAGATAGACACTCGTATATATCATGTAGCCACATGTGGAGGCCCGGGCTGAGAGGCATTGATATGGCGAATCGTATTGCAAGCGGGTCAGCGACTCATTCTGTTGTGGTCATCTCATAATAGTCCTAGACTTTGGCTCTGTGCTTCTCACGGCAACGACATGGCATTTGTTGAGGCATACGTCTCCAGAATGCGGGCAGCCAAATTGGCCTCTCAAGCACGAAAGGCTGCATGTCCCGCATTGCTTGAGAATCGCAGGTGCTTCTCCGTATGGAGTTTCGCAGCTCATGTATCGAGATCGAGACGTAACCCGCGTGCTCGGCTCTCAGCCGTCATCAGGATCCTCCACAATCCTCACGGCACCACCCTTCTTCTGGCCCTCTGTTTCACGGCGGACGACCTTTCTACGCTCAATCTCCGTCACGAGGCCTTTCAGGTAAACCTCTGCCTGCACAGTGGCACTGTAGGAGAGAGCCGTCCAGCTCCATTTGTTCCTCCTCTCGGCATCAGCGCCGGCAGCGAGGAGTGTCCTGAGGACCAGCAGATTACCGTTGCCGCTCGCAAAGTGCAGAGCAGTGTTGCCATCGAGATCAGCAGTCTGCACGGCCTCTTCCGGGCCATTAGGCGCATACGTCAGAAGAATCTGCAGCACAGTATCGTGGCCGCCGCGGCTGGCTTCCATGATCGCATCTCGTCTGTGCGCATCCCGCCTGTGTATGACTTTGGGGAACCGCTCACAGAGCAGGTGGACGACCTCGGTGCGGCCGGCGCCGGCTGCGAGCATGAGAGCTGTCTGGTGTTTCTCGTTCAGCGCAGGGTCGGGGTCTTCGTGACCGAGGTCGAGGAGTACGCGGCAGACTTCGACATGGCCGAGGAAGGCGGCGAGGTGGAGGTTCGAGTTGGAGAGGCCTTCAGGGGAGGCATCGGGGCTGTGGAGGGCTTGGGGGTTCGAGTTGAGAATTCGTTTGACGAGCGATGCGTCGTTGGCAATGATCGCCCTGCGAACACGGGTGGTTGCTTCGATCCTAGGCGGCGCGAGTTAGCTGTGGTCATGGTCAAAAGGTCCGCGTGGTGCGATTGTGAGGGTAATTACGGACATCTTAGGGTCGAATGGGGGTGGCTGCCTGCAGTCGTGAGGGGTCGCATTGCGAGCAGAAGCCGCCTGCAGCTTGACAGTTTGGAGTGCAATGGAATTGAATCGCAATGACAAGCCTTCCGCCTGGTATCGAGTCGTGCGGAATGCCTGCGTCTAGGGGCACGCTTCCAGCTGGCGGACTTGATGACGGAAGGTCGTCCAGCGGCTGCGTCCTGATCACGAGCTTGGCCTGTGCTGGTGGGGGGGCTTTCCTCTCTGGAAGCCTGTGGATTAGGCGGGGGAGTGGCCCAAGCTCCCATGTCATCGCCCAAAGGTGCCTGACACACGTCTGAACTGTGATCCTTCAGTGGTTTGGCCATGAGGTCAATGCAAGGTTGCGTACCTTATCTCGCGGCAGGTTGTATTGTTTAAAGGATCAATTGCCCAGCTGATGGTGTTGTGGATGTAGTGGAACCCCCGCTGCTGTCGGCTTGTTTGATGATGGTCTCGTGCCAGCACCTGATAAGCTGCGTCGTCCATCCGAGTCCGTGAACACTGAGAAATGCCGAATGATACTTGTAGGGAGACTAGACTGGCTACTGCCAGCCATCTTGCCAATCCACGAGCTTACGCTTGTAGTTCTACCAAATGCCAGCACAATTACATGGCTTCCGCGAAAGGGATGCTACTTCTAATCGAATAGATATGCAATTAGACGGTGAGGCGGGGTCACTGCGTGGGGGCGGATCGATTCCGCACCAGTGCCGAAGACTCGAGCCAAATTCCTCTCGTCGGACCAGCCCATCTTCATCCCCATCAATCCAACCGACAGTCGAATTCAACAATGGCGAAATCCAAGTCTCGAAAGCGAAAGCAGACGGCCCAGGCCGACCTGCCGAACAAGATTCTCAAGACCGTCAGCACCATCACGCCACCTCCCGATGGCGCGACACAGGAGCCCAAGAGTCTCCAGACCGTCGTTTCGGAGGAGGAACTCGAGATCACCGTCGAAACCCTGACGGCGCTCGCCCAATATCCAAACTTGATCAAGTCAAAGTTCTGCAAGGATCTTCGAGTCGCCGCCTACGACTTTCGCCAAGCCTGTGCCACGGGTGTCAACAGCGCTGGTACGTTCGACAACGATGAGAAATGGTAGTTGTACGGTGGCGAATAAAATTACTGACGTACTCTGCAGCAGCAGGAACGAGTCTGACGGCGCGGATCACAGCTGCACTTACGGATGGCAAATATATGGATGCGAGGATCATGTTGGCGGAAATGAGAATCAGGGGTGAGGAGCCCAAATTGGGTGCTTTGTGTCGCTGGGTTCGCGACCTCGACATGATCAGTGGTCTGTCGACATTGCCAGCAGGGCAAGGAACGGAAGTTGAAAGATCAGCGAGCGAACTCGAGATCCTCAGCGTTATTGACGGCGTCCTTCGCGTCACAGGGCCTGTTGATGCAAACATGGACGCTGCCACGCACCCAACCTCTCCGATGATTCTTCAAAAGATCTGGGATCTTCGACCCTCGACACCAAGCCTCAAAGTTCGAGCCTCAGTTCTCGATAAGTCCATATTCGACTCGGCATCACCAAACCTGGCAACAGACCTGCGGGTCATCGAAGAGACACCAGGGCCCATGCGAAAGCCCCCAAACCATCATCCGGCAATCCTCTACACAACCGCCCCGAACGCGATTCCCCTCTCATCAACACCACATGCCATCACCTATCATGACCATCCTACTGTCCCAAACCTTCACCTCGCCACAAATCTTCTCTCTCCTGATGAATGTAAAGCCATCATTGCTGCTGGCGAAACCGTCAACTTCTTGCCTGACGCACCTCTGCGGGAGGACGGCGACATCAGTATCTTGGCTCACAACTTCTACTGGGTCATCGATACTGCGTTCCACGACATTCTGTGGTCCCGCATCTCTCCCTACGTACCGTCAGCGGTAAATGGGCGTCTGGCCCGCGGATTGAACAGAAGATTCCGCGTCTATCGCTACGTCCCGGGCGCTGAATATCGCACACATATCGATGGGGCCTGGCCTCCGTCGGGCATCCTTGCTGATGATACGTACGTGTACGACGCATCGCCTCAGGAGAAGAAGCAGAGCTCGCTCTTCACCTTCCTTATCTACCTCAATGATGATTTCGAAGGCGGTGAGACGACCTTCTTTATGCCGGCGCAGCGAGAGGGCACGCTCAATGCTTATCCTGTGAAGCCAGTGATGGGCGGTGTAGCAATTTTCCCTCACGGCGAGACGCGGGGGGCGCTGCTTCATGAAGGAACGGGCGTGAGGAATGGCGCCAAGTATGTGATCAGAACGGACGTTGAATATGATGTTGAGCCTTCGGCTTAGGGTGTCGGAATACTTGCTGGGGAGTTTGAAATGAAAAGCGATTCTTTGGTCTACCAAGCTGAACACCACCCTGCTCGTGATATCTTTCTCCGATGAGTATCATGCAGGTGCTTAAAAAGAATTTCCTTGTCCTGCATTGCCTCTACTTTCTCGCTTTGATCTGCGGTAAACTGGACGATTCGTCTACGGTAATGGATGCACCACGACCAGGCAGTCTGACCCAAGTGAAAAGTTTACTGTCAGGCCTCGTCGACGAGGCACGCGCAGCCTTATTCAACTCACTGATCCAGCACCAAAATCGCCCGTCAAGTAACGAATTTTGCTCCCACTGTTACCTTTCTCCCAGCCTGCCCTGCCATGCATACCCGCATCGCGCCATGATTGGGTCAGTCTCTGCGCGCGCAAAGCTTCGGGGCTGAGCTGCATGAATGTCAGCCGCTGTGCGCCAGGGGCATGTGGATTGATACAAAGCTGCAGCAGACAGACCATAAGTTCAGCTGCAGTTTGGGGGCCGAAGTGCCTGTGCAGTCGGGGCTTTGACTTGACCCGACTCCAGCTTCGGCGTCATTCCTTCCAAGACCCCTCATGCTTTTCACCACATCTTGTCATGGACTTATTCTCATCTCTGTGACCTGAGGAACATATCACTCGTCATGGATCCTCTGTCCATCGCTGCGAGCACCGCCGGATTGCTCACCCTCACGGCCCAAATCATAACGCGGGGCTATGCGTGTATGATGCGACTGAAGAGCAACGACGACGATGTCCGCACAGCCCGTCAACGACGTCTCTAGCTTCTCGGGGATCCTGATGGCAATCGAGTCGCAATGCAAAGAGCGCGGTGACGACATTGCCTCGCCTATGAGTCACCTCATCATCAAGAATCAACCATTATGGAAGAAGAAGGTCGATGAGTGCGAAGCGGTGCTGGTGGAGATGCTTGAAATCCTGGGCACACTCACCAAGGCGAACAAGGCACAATTGCTTGTCAAGGGCAACAGCCTTTGGGAGAAGCTTCAGAAATCTACCACTCAGATCGAGACGTCAAAGAGCTTCTTTATATTATGTTTGCAACTACAGAATAAGTGAGTGCGACTTAAGAGAGATTAGAGACCACTCATTCCGCTGACACGTAAAAGTGAGGATATCAGGTCCTCTCAGAAGATAAGCGGGAAGATCATGTCGTCACTAGATCGTCTACGGGATGAGCAAGATCGCGCAAGGCAGGAGGCCCAATTGAAGGAACGAAGTATGACCTGGCGTACCTGGTGACCATCTGTCTGGTAGCTAATTGTGAGCAGAGGAACAACAGCATGGGATGATGGAATGGCTTGGCTTCCCTGGCGAAGCGATGCAAGATGACCTAATCAACACAGGACACCCAGACTCCTCTCAATGGCTTTTTGAGCGCAAGGAGTTCATCGACTGGCTCACAGCTGATGGGCAGTCAAGTTTATGGCTTCGAGGTCCACGTAAGACTCACTCCGCCCCCTCTGGTGCATGGCTTGTTGGCGTCAGTCAAATTACTAAGGAATGAATTAGAGGGCTCTGGCAAAACCATCATTGTGTAAGGGTTCCATATCTCATTGTGTCTACTGTCATTCATAAGGGTGAGTTAGTTCACGAGTCATCGACTTTATCCAAACCCAGTGTCTAGACCAGGATGCGGTCCTACTCTTCCATTTCTGCAGATTTACGGACGAGGCAACGAAATCGCAAGACCAGCTTCTCGGGGCTCTCATCACACAGCTTCTTGATAACCTGCCAGAAGACTCGCCTCTTCCTGATAGCCTCACCTCGATGATGAAGCGATCTCGATTCTCGTCATATCCCCGCGTCTCAAGACTCAAACCGGTCTTCTTAGAGCTTTGCAAAGCTCATGCAACAGTCTACATCGTTGTTGACGGTTTGGATGAACTTGAAAATCTCAGAGACATCCTAGGTATCTTTCGATCTCTCAATATGTCACAGACCACTTCGATAAAGCTTTTCGTCTCCAGCAGACCAAACACAGAGCTGAAGACTGCCTTCGCATCATACATCAATGTTGAGATCTTGCCCGAAGATGTTGAGTCTGACGTACAAATGTTTGTGCGTGATAACTTGGAGGAACTCCTCTCTGGGAACGAAGAGGAAATAGACCCTGGTCTACTTGTTATGGAACTCGCCACGCGAGCTGGTGGCATGTCAGTTACGCCCGATATGTCCTTGGCGAAACCATACTTACTCAAGTTGATCATCCAGGTTTCTCTGGGCTGTATGTCAGGTCCAATACCTGTCGCGTATTAGGACCACCATCACCCCGGATCTCATCGCAACACTACCACCAGCACTCGAGAGTATCTTCGAGAACGTACTCATGACGCTCGAAGACAAGGACCGGAAGATGACTCTCCGCATATTGCAACTGGTCATGTTTGCAATGAGACCCTTAGATCTCTCCGAAATTGACGAGGCCATAGCGATTTCACCCTCCAGCAAAAGTCTAGCCGGGCTGCTTCGCCTGCGCCAGAAAGATGTCATACTGGAACTGTGTGGTTGTATGCTCTCTCAGTCGCCTCGAACCAAGAAGATCCAGCTTGCACACAGTTCAGTTTACGAATTTCTCACTCGGAAGACGACTGAGTCCAGTGCGGTCCACGACTATTTCCACTTCGACGACATGACTTCGCATAGAGAGCTCTTTGTGACTTGCGTTCGGTACCTCAGCATGAAAGATTTCGACTCGGACACATTTCGGGAGACATTTCGCCTCGCTCAAGATGGGGGTCACGCCGACTCAGATCTGCAGGCTTTTGCAAAGGCACCATTCCTCGATTATGCCGTCAGCCACCTCATTTCTCACATGAAGAAAATCGAACTTGCGAATGATTCCGATAACCGCGGTTGTATGGGTTTAGCCGAGAAGGTCTTCTTTGAAGATAGCTCCACGTTTATGTCTTGGCTCTTGGTTCGACAGTATCTTGATGGCACGTACAGAAACCCGCCTGGTAGCAACGCATAATACATTGCTGCCATTTACGGCATTGAACAGGTCTTTGGCTTGGGTCCTGATCAGTACGGCCTCAAAGCACAAACCTTAGACGGCAGAAATGTGCTGCATCTCGCACTAGAGAATCAGCAGTGGGAGATCGTTGACGCAATTCTGCGTCTGGGGTTGGGAGATCTCCTTAGCGACTTCGATAAGCAAGGACGCTCTCCTCTGCACGTTGCGGTTGAGCTCGGCAATACCTTCATGGTTCAGCGCCTCATAGAGGGAGGAGCAGACCCCAACCTCGCCAGTCCTCTCAACCAGGGCCGAACTCCAATCTTCATGGCTGTAGAAAACAAGTGGGATGAGCTCACCGAGTATCTCTCAGGCAAAGCCAATCTAGATATTTGCCTGGACGATGGACGCTCGCTCCACCACGTAGCCGCGCAGTCTGGAAGCCCCGAATGGATCACCGCGTTAGAGGGTAGTCATGGAGACAGTACAACGACGCCGAGCCCTGCCAACCGTGTCGGTAGCGTAAGACGCGACGATAACGGCTGGACACCTCTCCATTACGCGGCAGATCTTGGGCATACAGACATTATTCCCAGGCTCATGGCCAGTGGATATGCGGCTAATGAGGTGGACAAGAACGGTTGGACTCCGTTGCACGCAGCGATTCGAAGGCGCTTTATCAAAAGCGCTACAGCGTTACTAGATCGTACGGCGCCCATGCCTCCCAGTGACGATTCTGTCAGCAGACTCCTAACCGACAGACCCGGCTCCTCCATGACAGTTTCTAAGCCATATGGTTACTATGGCCTACAAACGGACACAAGCTCCTTCACATTTTCCAACCCTTCAGCGTCGCGGCCTTCAGCATCCGGAAAATATGGTGCTCATTTCAATCCGAGAAATGAGCCAACGTCTGTGGCCGCCAGTCAGCCACAACCAGCATACACTTACAATAGCCTACGCTCACAGCTCACCGCCCCAATCTCAGGTCTTCTGTCGGCTGTTACCGGGAGAGCAGCGCGGCCACCTGGGGGCGATCCGGCGACGAGTCAACTAAACAGAATACCAACATCGCCAGAGCCAGCGGTCAGCCTGCGGCGAAATCCACGACCTGAGGGCGGAGACGACAGGTTCCCTTCTAGCTCTTCGACCACGGAAGCTTTGCGACATCGAGCCTTGTCACCACTTTATGTGGCCGTTGCAGATGCATACACGGAAGGCGTCGAACTCCTCGTCAAGCATCGAGCCAAGCTTCCGGCCTGGGGCCTGACGGAGGAGGAAAAGGCCAAGTGTCTTAAAGTGGCGCTCGAAATATCCAATACTTCCATTGTCATGCCTCTTCTCGAGCTCTTTGGGGAGGAGAACATTTGGGATGCCATACCGCAGTTGATTGCAACAGGAAACGACGAAATCATTGGCAAAGTCAAGGCCCGTATCTCAGAAGAAACGGCTTACAAAGTGCTGATTGGAAAGGGCCTGCACACCAAACAAATCGAGATGGTTAGCTTCGTCCTGACGACGTGGCCGAAGCCCTTCGCGGATTTGGCTGTATTGGCAGTTGAACTTTGCGCTGCTAGTATGCCGAATCAGGACACAGCGACCTCTGAACTGCTTGAAACCATGGTCGAAAAGTACGTTGCTGATTTCATCCGTGACACCGATCAAGCCGCACAAGACGGGAAACAGTCATCGCTCCTGACACAAGCTCTGGAGGGGAGACATTTGAGGGCTGCGACAGTACTCATCGACAGGGGCGCCGATCTGCATGTTCGAAATAGAGAAGGCGAAACCCCGTTGCTCTCTCTACCGCGTGTCATACCCGCATATGCGAGCGAAGCCCACAACACTCGATACCTTAACCTAGCCGACCGAATGGTGATTCAAGGCTGTGATGTTAGCATGACCGATCTGAAAGGGCAAAATCTCTGCCACAAAGCAGCCACGCAGGGTAATGCCAAACTGATGGAATGGGCTCTGAAGAAAGGTGTAGCGCCCACCAGTCGCACCATTCATGCAAGGACACCTCTCGCCCTTGCAGTTGAGACAGGCTCAGCGGACTGTGTACGGACGATCCTAGACTTCCTCAGGACCGACGACAGCGCAGGCGCAACAACCTTATCCACGGGCCTAGGCCGTGTCGTCGATCTTATGGACTATGGGAAAATGAGAACTTCACCACTCCTCAGAGCCTCGGTTGACCGTCCCGAACGCAAGTTGTCAATTCTGGCACTACTCGTCGAAGCTGACGAAAGAGCATTCTCCGCGCTAGACCCGAGCCTTCAGTGTGACGTGGAAGGTCTCCGTGCTTCGCTCTACACAGAGGCGCTCTGCTGGACCATTGACTGCCGTTTTCCACAGGGCTTCGAGCTCCTCCTGCCAAGGATCTCAACATTTACCGCGCTTTGTCGGCGCAGCATTGACGGCGAAACAGTTCTGCACGGTGCGGTGCGCGCCAGTGACGACGACTTTCTGAAGACGCTTTTGCAGAAGGTTGAGGCTTTGGGGGAGCAAGAGAAGATCGCAGAGGTTGTCAACCTTCACGACACGCAGAAAAGGACGCCACTGTTGCTTGCCGTCGAAGCACGGTCTCTGGAGAAAGTGGCTGCGTTGTTGCGCGCTGGCGCAAGATCGGACCAGGCCATGATTGACTCGACGACGGATCCAGCTATTGCGACGATACTGAAGAGGTATTGCGTTGAGCTGTGAAACCTAGGGCCAAGTCTTGTAAAACCAGGTAGCTTTCACGATCTGCTTGCATATCAGAAAGTGTGAGGTTGCGCAGGGGATGACTCCATTCGAACACAGATTTGCTATGACCCCTGGAAGAAGTCGCCATTACCTTCAATCGTCACACGACAAGTACTCTTAGCCCACATGAGCAAAAGATGAAGTTCTCTTGCGAGATGCGTCAGGAATTGAGCCCAACGGGGGGCTCGAACCCCCAACCTTGAGATTAAGAGTCTCACGCTCTACCGATTGAGCTAGCCGGGCAGGCAGGTTGCTTGTTGTTGCATGCCGGGTTTGCAGCGGGCCTGATGGTGTACGGATGGGGCGGACGAGAAGAATCTGCATGAATTGGAAAAAAAAAAACTTCATGGTTGTTGTCGGGGCCTTGATGGCCCACTTCAATATCCGGAATCACGATGGCGAGACCTCGGAGTGGGGTTGTAGAAGGACCGGGGATAGTGGAGTCGGAATATCTGCCGATGGACGAAGAAGCGCCCGACGAATACGACAGGTGACGGGCAAGGGGGATCAACGTAGGTTGTGAGAATATCAATTAAGAACAGTGGAATTATAAGCATGTTCATGACCCAAACCAAATGCGGTATCCATGGTATCTTCGCTAGACCCGAAAAACGCCCCTCGCAATGCCACATTCATTCCCTCCCTTGGCTTCTCATAATTGCCTTATGTCTTTGTGTGTGGTATCTGACATCCTTCGGGTGCAATGGGTTATAGACGATATGGCACATCTTGCATTCCTCGAAGGCCGGCTTCGTCGATAGATTGATCGTTGTTTGTATGGGAGCGGACCTGGAACGGGTCGTCTTGACTTTTTGTCCCTCCTCAGCTTCCACAAACGCTAATTTGGTGTTGAGTGTTGTGTCTGGGGATTGCTGTAGGGTGGAGCGGACAGCGCCTGTCTTCTTGCCAGGCATCTGGGACGCCTTGCCCTTGTACTGTACGGAGCATTGCCTGTTCTCTTCGCTTACTTTCGGATCCTCCAAGTCTGTTGTCCCGAGTGGCGCGATGACTGGTGTTGGCGGTCGTAGGCGCAGCCGGCGCGGTGTCCTCTTCGTATCAGTGGGTGGTGGTGAGGATGGCGGAGTGGAAGACATGTGCGGTGGGTCTGATGAGCGGTCCGTCAAGCCGGCATCGCAGCTCGATAGACATGGTTTGAAGTAGTTCAATATCGAGCCCTTCGCGAAGGTGCTTGTTGAAGATGATGGAGATTGGCGGCTAACTGTAGATGGCGGTGGAAGTTCAGGCTCGGCTGCCGTGATGCGTCGTCGTTTGTCGGTCGAGGCGGGAGCATCGCTCGTCTGTAGGGTTCGCTTCTTGCCGTAGGTACGCAATGATCTCCTGCGACAAGGGGTTAGTTAGCCATGTAATTGCCAGAGTGCATCCTTGATTCCTCACTTCTTGTTGTCATTCTGGGGGGTGACAAGGCTGGACGCGTGAAGATTGTCCATGACGGAAGAGATAACCGGAGAGCAGGCGGCTGGGCCGCAATGCTTCGAGGTGTGTCACGATGAGTAGTGGCGGTCCTGAGTGATCGGTCTATATATGCGTCGGATGCCTAAATTTGCCAGGAAATATCCAAGAAGGCGAAATCTGGAAATGAGTGCAGTGCTGATTAGTTCGTCAATCGTGCGTGAAGTCGTATTATGGCAGTACGAGGCTGGTAGGGCGACCCTCGGAGGAATGACGATGCCCCACCACCAGAAATCGCGTGTTTACGCGCGCGGGCGCGTCTTGACGCGCTATCGCGAGGGCACGTGATGTAAGTGAAATCAGGATGGCACCGATGACGGATGTCTGTAAGAAATCCTGGAGCCTTATCTTATCGGAATCATTCGAGCCCCTCGTGAAAGCGACAACTACAGTGACATCAGGGCGAATATTCATAACAGGTTGGGTTGATTCACAACGGCCTAGTTTTCGCCCTTCAGCCGTCGTCGTATGCCCTCGTCAGCAGCATCATGTTCTCTTTTCGTGTCCAGTGAAATCATCTCCGCTGTTGACGCGCCCTCTGATGCCTTTTCTCCTGGTTCTGCCATAACCTCCCAGGTTTGCACCACCTCCCTGATCTCTTTCACCTTCGCCTGCTGCTTCTTCGCCTCGCCCATGCGCCATATGTAGCCAGAATAGACGGCGACTTCGGCGATGCCCACCACGAGAGCACCGCCCATGGTGACGAAGAGTCGCGCAGGGGTACTCCACCATCGCGCAACGACCCAGATTGTGCCGGCGACACCCAGGATGCTGACCATAAAGTTAAAGATGAGCATAACCTGACGGTGAACCTCTTCGAATGTCACCTCGTTGTCGCCTTCGTCTGACTTGTCGATTGGTCGGTTGACTTCGGCGAACCCTTGCACGGTCGAGAGGGCGGTTGGGAACTGCTGCGAGAAGGCCTGCATTCGGGACGGTTGCTTGAGCATGCGCTCGTACGTGCGTTGCTCCTCGTCCCGACGGAGGCGCGCCATGAGGGCCTTGTACTCTGGCGACTGGGGATGGTCAGCGATGGGCGGGGGAGGTGCTTGTGACGGGAATCTTACCGGTTCTGGTTTTGGTGGTGGGGGTGGGCTGTAGACTTGCGATCCTTGCAGAAGACTCTCCAGCGAGAAACCTTGATGGCTTCCACCCTTCAGCTCCTTCCACAGACGGAGAACCTGGGCATGTGTGATGGGGTTTCCAGGCTGAGGATCCTTCAGCGACGGTTCTGCATCGATGGCTATTTGGGTCTGGGGTCCGGCCGTCGGTTCTTCATGCGTCTCTCGAAGACCATCGTGGTTGTGCAGAAGATTCAGACCCTTCACAATAGAAGGCGTCATGATAAGGCGTACCATGTTCGAAAAGATCGATGTCGTTGATGCAGGTTTCTCGATCGAATTGTCGAGCCGCAGATCATAGTACATCGCGCCTCGCAAGCCAGTAGGCACCAGCGCTGCACCAGGGAGCTACGGATGGCCCCAGCCATAGCTTCAACCAATCACAACATCAGAACGCTCCACCCACGCTGCGCGGGCGTTCCGTACCGAGCCGATGGAGGGCCAGAGAGAAAAAAGCGAATCCATTTCATCATCATCAGCAGACAACCATCGACGGCAACCACGGCGACCACCGTCCATCGACACTTTCTGGCGCCTGTATCCGTAAGCCTCCGTAGTGAGCTCGCCAATTGACGTTCAAAGACCGACTTCAACACCACACAAAGGGTTTCAACGGAACCACTTTGGCGCCATGCAGCTCCGGCCAGGAGCCTTGGTGCTGCGCAACACCCACCAGGCGTCACGATCTCTCCTCTCCTCTACGTGTGCTATTCGGCCGAGATGCAGTCCAGCCGTCGATCCGAGATTTCCGTCGCACTTTGCATCATACCACAACACCTCGAGGAGGTCATCAGCATGGGGTGCCGCTGTCCAGGTCGCCGGGCACATGGCTTCCAACGCCATCAACCGTGTCACAAAGGGTGACATGCACATCGACCCTCTGAGAACAGTGGCCAAGGAAATGAAGTTTTTGACCGGCAATATTCGGAACCTCCTCGGCTCAGGCCACCCTGCGTTGGAAAAGGTTGCGAAATACTACACACATGCCGAGGGCAAGCACATCCGGCCGCTGGTGGTGCTGCTGATGGCACGGGCGACAGCCCTCTGCCCCAAGGCAGAACGACGAGCTCCGACGCAGACCTATGCGGGCATCAACTCGCCCATCTCCCCTGACGGTATCCTCTCCGACGTGAACCCGACTTCACCCTTCACCGGCCCGCCGCTGGACCCTCAGCAATCCAACTCGGACATTCTGCCGTCGCAGCGCCGGCTTGCCGAGATCACGGAGCTCATCCACACGTCGTCCCTCCTGCATGACGACGTGATCGACCACTCCGTGTCACGCCGCGGGTCCCCCTCTGCCAACCTCGAGTTCAGCAATAAAATGGCCGTCTTGGCGGGCGACTTTCTCCTCGGTCGTGCGTCCGTTGCTCTCGCCCGCCTGCGCGACGCCGAGGTCATCGAGCTCCTGGCCACCGTCATCGCGAACCTCGTCGAGGGCGAGTTTATGCAGCTGAAGAACACGGCGCAAGACGAGCGCAACCCGGCCTGGTCGCAGGAGGCCGTCGACTACTACCTGCGCAAGACGTACCTCAAGACGGCGAGCTTGATCTCCAAGTCGTGCCGCGCGTCGGCTCTCCTCGGCAACGCCGACGCGGCGACTGTCGAGGCGGCCTACGCGTACGGCAAGAACCTGGGCCTGGCGTTCCAGCTCGTCGACGACATGCTCGACTACACGAGAAGTGAGAAGGATCTCGGCAAGCCGGCGGGCGCGGATCTGGAGCTCGGCCTCGCGACGGCGCCGCTGCTGTACGCGTGGAAGGCGAATCCGGAGCTGGGTGCGCTAGTTGGGCGCAAGTTTGAGGGGGAGGGCGATGTTGCGAGGGTACGTCACTTTTTTTTTTTTCTTATGTGCAAACCCGTGATGGGAGGTGAAGCTGACACGGTCCATAGGCCCGCGAGCTGGTGCTGCAGAGCAACGGCATTGAGCAGACGCGCGCTCTCGCGCAAGAGTACTCGGAGAAGGCGATTGAGGCGATCAGCGGATTCCCCGACAGCGAGGCCAAGGACGGCCTCATCGAGATGGCCATGAAGGCGCTGCAACGGCAAAAGTAACGTCGCGGACGGAAGAGAGGCGGGGTCAAGGCCATGTTTGTGGGCGATCAACAGCAGCAGCAGCATCTTTTTGTACAAAATATGTGAAGGAAAGGGGCGGCGGGCAGAGGCGAAGGAGGACAACCGCCATGCGACTACCATCTGTACAACACCGACATATACACAACACACCACCAAGACGCTTTTCCGTTATTTTTTTCGGGCTACAGCAGAGGAAATGAGGAGGGACCGCGCGCGAACAACTCTTGGCGCAAACGATAGACGGCGGCAGGGGTTACAGGGTAGGCAAAAGCGGTGTTGGATGGTGTGCTTTGCAGCTCAATACCATTTATGTTCTGGTCGAATTGTCTGTGGCTCGGTGTCGTTGGTCGTGATGTTCGCCTCGACGTGCCATGGAAGATGCACACTGAACGTACCTAGGTAATGAACGTACCTAGCTAATAAGGAACGTACGTATGTAGGTAAGGTATCTAGGCAGAAGGAGCATGCACGGCTAGAACGATACACCGCCCTTCCCTCTTCCCGAGGGGCGTGCGTCGGCCATCGCCGGTGGTGCGGCGACATCCGGGCTCCGCTCTCGAGCGCGCCGGCCGAGGGAGCGGGTTTGGGGTTCCCATTACGTGACGAACAAGGCGTGTGGACGTGCGCAGGGCCCGGCGGCCGACAGGCGTCTGGTCGGGTACCTTAGCAAGCTTAGGTACCTTACCCAAGGGGGGAGGGGCGGGGCAGAAACGCACGCTGCGCGATGAGGAACGGGCCAAAGCTTGTCACAGCGATGGGAGGGGACCCTGAAATAGGCTGCGATGGCATCTCCGCGGCTGCTGGCTCGTGACGAGGACGGGAGCAGGGCAGGGTGACGACGTCTGGATGATGGCGTCCATCTTCTGTGGAAGAATCAAAAGGGCAATGGTCAGAAAAGAACCGTCGAGGAACGAGGTGACAACAGGCGCACAGGACCATGCTGGCCCTGTCGATGGCGACGCCGAACATGTCCGATTCGCGCGGCCTGGGTTGTGACTCGATGGTGTGTTGCTCGACGATGACCACAGGAAAAGCCTCGATTCGTGGTCGCGGCGGTTCATGAGAATGGGACCCCGCCCTGGCTCGCCCTTTCTCAGCATGGCTAGACACTCTGGGCAACATCGGCGCAGAACCCTCTTTCCTGCTAGGTTGCCTCTGGTCTCACCAGATTGCCTCTGGTCTCATCCGTTTTGCGCAAAGAAACAGATGCCGTGAAAACGACGTCGACCAATGGACAGGCGCACCGATCCGACTTTACTCGATGATTACTCGATGGAAACACGCGGGCCAATTGCTGAGGTAAGGCGCTGGCGGGAGGACCTTGACGAGGAAGGGCCGGCGTTGCGCTTGTCGAGGGATTGCGGTTTATTGGTACGGCGTCTGATTGGTGCGCTGGGGCTATTGACCAATCGGGGGGGCATGATAAGGGATCTCGGGTTTTGGTATGGAAGGGGCAGCATGATGGGCAGGCACGGCGGACAGCATGGGCAGGCACGGCGGACAGCATGGGCAGGCACGGCGGACAGCATGGGCAGGTACTAACGAGACGGTACCGCAGTACAGTACGACGGGCAGGGGCCTGGGCTGAGGGGATTCAGGGTCGCCCTCTCTGTGTCTCTCCCATCAGTGGACTACCTCCACACCCCTCCGGCTCGTCTCATGCATGTGCTTCTGCTTCGCGTTCGGGCGTCTGTCACTGCACCCCACCAGCGCCGAAGGCCAACCCGCCATGGACGAGGCGAGGCGATGCCGTTGCGATGATCTCGAGTAATGGCCTGGCCAGCTCACATGCCGCTTCCAGGACGCCCAGGCTGTCTGTCAGTTTGCCTAAACCCTGTCGTTTTGGCCAGGCTGTGTCCCTTCGCCTCCTCTCCCCGAACCACCGAAGGAAACACAGGACACTAAAAAGACACAGAAGCAAGACGAGAACAACGCACTTTCTAGAAGCCGTTAGAGTCTCCGAGCAAGGATTCCCCGGACACGCCCCCCTTCTCCGACTGCCAACCCGCAGACACGACGCAGCCAGCACCTTTCGCATCGAGTTTTGATTCCGATCCCACCCTTATCTCACCCGATTCCTCACCCCTCCCCCACCATCTCGTCCCAGATAAGAGCTTGTTGCGCCGCCAACTCAACTTCTTTCCGAGCTCGCGACCTTGTCAGCCCTTTTTCTCTCCCTCTCGCTTTTTAATTTTTTTTATCCCCGTTGGCATCCTCTTGCTCTGTCCGTCACGCCGTCCCCCAGGCAAGGAAAGGCGGTGCTTCAACCACACGACACTCGTCTTGCAGATCGACAGAGACCCTACTCGGAGACCTCCTGAAAGACCTCCCAGAGACACTCCTCGCCATGGCTGTCTCTGACTCTTTCTCGGCCGAGGGCCTTGTCGTCCTCGCCTCGACGCGCGCCGTCATCACTCTGCCCGACGATTCCCTCGTTCTCACGCCAGCGACCATTACTCTGTCGCCTTCCACCGGCAGGATTGTCGACATTGTCCACGAGGTCCTCCCCGCCTCGTCCTTTCCCGCCTCCACAACCTACGTTGACCACGGCGACAAGGTCCTCTTACCTGGTCTTGTCGACGCTCACGTCCACCTCAACGAGCCGGGTCGCACCGAGTGGGAGGGTTTCTGGACCGGCACACGCGCTGCTGCTTCGGGTGGCGTCACCACGGTCATCGACATGCCCCTGAACGCTATTCCCCCCACCACGACGCTCGCTGGCTTCAAGGAGAAGCTGGCGGCGAGCGAAGGCCAGTGCTGGGTTGATGTCGGCTTTTACGGCGGCGTCATCCCCGGAAACGCCGCCGACCTCCTGCCTCTCGTCGAAGCAGGTGTGCGCGGCTTCAAGGGCTTCCTCATCGAGTCTGGCGTATGTTTGACCACAAACCAGTCGAGAAGGCACGCAACTGACTGAGTACAGGTCGACGAGTTCCCTGCCGTTTCGTCCGGCGATGTTGCTCTCGCCATGGAGACCCTCAAGGGCACGCCTACGACGCTCATGTTCCACGCCGAAATGATCCCTCCCATTGCCGACTCGGTCGGTGACGCCGTCCAGCAGTCGCAGCCGCCGCTGGCCCCCGTCGGCGAGCTCACGGCTTACGACACGTTCCTTGCCTCCCGCCCACCCTCTTTCGAGACGTACGCCATTGACCAGATCTTGTCTCTTGCCCACATCGCCCCCGACCTGCACCTGCACATTGTCCACCTATCGGCGGCCCAGGCCATCCCCGCTCTCAAGAGCGCGCGCCAGGCTGGCGTCAAGATCACTGCTGAGACGTGCTTCCACTACCTCGGGCTCGCCGCCGAGTCGATCGAGGACGGCGACACGCGCCACAAGTGCTGCCCCCCGATTCGCGAAGACTCGAACCGCGATCTGCTGTGGGAGGAGTTGCTGGCCGAGGACTCGTGCATCCGTACCGTTGTCTCGGACCACTCGCCCTGCACGCCCCAACTCAAGCTACTGCCAGGTCATCTCGCGGCGCCGCCATCCTTCGAGGCCCCACCCATGTCCCTCTCCGATTCCGGTGTCGACGTCAAGTCGGCCCTTGATGACGAGGAGGCCACTCTCCCCAAGCCCGTGACGGCTGCGCCCAGTCCCGGCGTCAGCACAGAGGACGTGTCGAGCGGCGACTTCTTCGCCGCCTGGGGCGGCATCAGCTCCGTCGGTCTTGGTCTGCCCATTCTCCACGCCGAGGCCGCGACGCGGGCATCGCTGGGCAAGGGCGGCCTGACACTCGTCGACGTCGCACGGCTGTGCAGTCAGGCGACGGCCGCGCAGGTCGGTCTCAGCCACCGCAAGGGCGGCCTCCGGGTCGGTCTCGACGCCGACGTATGCGTCTTTGACGACCGCGAGGCGTGGACGCTGCGGAGCGGCGATATGCGCTGGCGCAACCGGTGCTCGCCGTGGGAGGGCAAGCAGTTTGGTGGCCGCGTCCGGGAGACGTGGGTGCGTGGACAAAAGGTCTTTGAGTTTGGCGGCCGAGGCGGCGGTTTCGTAGAGGGCAAGCCTGTTGGCGAGGCCATTGTCGAGAGGAGGACCATGTAAGCGTCACAAATGAAAGTTGATGTCAAGACTGCCATTGAAAAGTCGAGGGCGAGGGGAGAGGGGGCGATCCATCTTGGGTGGGGTTAAGGCCGGCCTCCACTCGAGGTCTGCCGTCATGGTGAGCGCAGTGCTCGATGATGAGGCAGACGAAACCACACAGGTCAAATAAAATGCATAATCTCAAAGCCAAGACTATCTTATGTGCTCGTGAGATGATTGATGTGTGCGATGTTGTACGCTCGTCCAAGTAAATGACTTGGACACAAAAAGACGCCGTCTGCTGAATGTCGACACTCGACAAACCCACGAGCACTCGATACTCGCCGTCTGGCGCTACCCAGCGAGCCTTCGCCTCATCATAGACGATTACGGCGTACTTGTCGATTTGTACTGTTGTCTGTGCAGTTTGCCCTGCTTCGATGTCAACCTTGGAGAATGCCTGCAGCTCCTTCACGGGCCTCTGGCGACCAGGGATACCAGCCCCCTCTGGGAACGCCACGTAGAACTGCACGACAACCTTGCCTCTCCTAGACCCAGCGCTCACAATCTCAGCGGACACACGAATCGAGTCGTTGGCGCTCTTCAAGGCACTAGAACCCAAAACGGCAGCACCGGTCACGGCAAACGTCGTATACGACAGCCCGAACTCAAAGGGGAAGAGAGCCGCCGGATTCCCGGGGCGATTATGCCGTCGACACCCGACAACCAACCTCTCGTCGTACCGCAGCACGCTGTCCTCCCCGGCAGGGAAGTTCTCAAACGAAGACCCGTTCTCTACACGCCGCGGCCACGGCAGCGGCAGCCTGCCGCTGGGGATGACGACGCCCGCGAGCACCGCCGCCAACGCATGCTCCGTCTCCTGCCCAGGGAACCACGCCTGCACGACGACGGCCGAGCGCCACGGGCGCGCCGGAAAAGTTGACGACGACGGTGCGCCGCGGAGTTCGCGCGCGCCACGGCCTCGACGAGGTCGTACTGCGCCGCCAGCGTGTCGCGGTCGAACCCCTCCGTCTCGGTCTCGTTGGTCGTGCCGACGCAGACGACGGCGTAGTCGGCCGCCGCCGCGGCCTTGGCGGCTTCGGCCTGGCGCGCGGCGACGTCGATTTCCTCGTGGAAGCGCACGGCGCTGCCTTGGAACATTTTGCCGAAGATCGATGCTGCGTTGAGGATGGCGGGGTCGCACGCCCAGGACTCGAGCGTGATGCCGTACCGGCGCCCCTTTTTTGAGCCGCTGGTGCACCCTCTTTTCGAGGTGCCGCTTGAAGAAGTAGAAGGATTCTGGACGCAGTTTGGTCTCCTGTCGACGGTCGAACACGAGCTCGCCATCAGTGTAGAGCTTTGCGCGGCCGGTGCTGATGACACAGAAGATGTGGTCGCCGGTCGAGGGCGCTAACAGGTCAAACGTGATGCGTGTTGAGAAGTCTTCGTCAAGATATTCGGGCCGCTTGTCCTTGGTCATGTACTCGGCTTGCGGGATGGTCCCTTTGTGGGCGAGATTCGTGCCGACGATGGGTCCGTTGAACCATTCCAGTTTCACTGGCCTCGACGAGCCAGTCTTGCGGTCGCGAGGGAAGACAATGCTCGGGTCGGCATGAGGGACGGCTCCGAATACAGGAAGGCCGCGGGCCTCGAGGTTCGTGAAACCAAGATTCCGGAAGCCCTGGATAGGTGATATCGCGTGCAGTGCATCAACGCGTGCGCTGCCGCCGCCGCCGAGCACGACAGACCACGAGTGCTGGCCGATCAGGGCTGCCGTGGATCCCCTTTTGATGGGTAAAACATCACCTTGGTTCTTCAGCAGAGTGATACTGTCTGCCCCGGCTTTTTTTATGAACCTGTCTCTGTCGGCATCTTCAACCGCGCGCTCGGGCGGTTCTTCAGGGTTCTCAAAGCGCCCGAGGCGGGCCAAATCAAGCACCCTGATAGTCCTTTTGTCGATGATATCTCCGGACAGTGAGGCGTCCTTCACAATCTGAGAAACAGATTCGTAGGTCCTCCATCTGGGAGGACCTGGCAGCTCAATGTCGACGCCGGCCTCAATGCCTGGGCCGACCGAGTACGTGCCCATCCAGTCCGAGATGAGGAGGCCCTTGAAGCCCCATTCGCCTCGAAGAACACCATTGATCAGTGGAGACGAGTCGGTAACAAATGTGCCTTGAACTCGGTTGTAGCTGTGTCAGGGTCAGTCACATCGAGGCAGGTCCCTGGCGGAGGCCAACACACCTTGTCATGAAAGCCCATGGCTCCGAAAGCTTCTGGACTAGCTGGAACGGCTTCAGGTAGATTTCTCGCAGGGTCTGCTCACCTATCTCAACGCTCAACTTTATCCGCTGGTTTTCGGCATCATTGGCGACAAAGTGCTTGGGTGTCGCGCCCACCGTACTGTCAGCCTGGCACCCGCGAACGTATGCCGCCGCAAGGTGTCCCAGAAGCAGGGGATCCTCGCTGTACGTGGCTCCTAGACAAGTGCCACATGGAAAACATGCTGCCTTGATGCCGGAGACGTAACTCTCGCCGCGAGCGCCATATGGGCCATCCGTGAACTGACGGGGATCAGCATTTGTTCTCTGGCAAGCCGATCGTGTACATGCCTTGATGTAAGGCATAAAAACACCGTCTCTATCGACTGTAGCTGTGCACCACCAGTTTACTCCACCCAATAGGGTTATCTTTTCCTTGAGAATGAGTTCGTAACGATTGAAGCTGAGTCGGCAGCCATATCGGAGATTTTACCTCTGGGTGCTTTTCTCACAGAGCAACCCTTGTTACTGCTGATCCGAGGCTTTTGTATTCGACGAACATAACTATGTCACTGATACAGACCGACTTCGATGACAAGCTATTGGTGATGAAATTTACATCCTCCGAGGTCGGTCTGATAGTCGCCGAAACTCCCTCGATCGGAACTGTGTCTGATTGGCATGGCGCCGACACTTCGGAGGCTCGTTGGCGCGGGCACTCTCATATTGGCCGTCTGCTGACCGCCGGGCAACTCTCCAATCCGCTCGGGCTGACGGAGAAGCCCCGGAGTTTGGCGAGTCGAGGTATCAATGATCCATGGAGTCTCTTTGAAGTATACTTCGTGAGGCTCTTGGACCACAACGAGATGCCAGCTACGTCGCCATTGAATGGCATCACGACGTAACATTTGACATGATGTGCTGATCGTGAGTTACCTCAGCCAACAGCGACTCGAGAGGTTTATATAATAAAACAATAATCCGGTCGAGTTGCACAGGAGATCTTCCATCAATCCTCCCAGGCTGGGTTGGCTGCCCCTCAGCTCTCGACCTATATCTGCCTGCCTCAGAAACGGCATTTCCAAGTCGAACGCCGCACGCCAACACCATGGCCCTCCAGGAAAATGACAAGGAGAAGGCTGTCTCCGAAATTGTCGTCGCTAAGACGATTGAGACCATCGGTCAGCAACTCACGCGACTCGCCAAAGAGACGCCGCCCTTCTACAAGAGCCACAGTCTCTTCATTCTCCATATGCTGATCATTCCAGGATGTCTGATGCCTGCTGTAACTCTCGGGTTTGACGCCGCCATTATGAACGGTCTGCAAGCTGTACCCGCATGAAATAAATGTAAGTGGCGCCCAAAGAGATCAGAATGACAGACAGGGGGCTGACCAGTGGCCAGATTTTGACAAGCCACGCGGCGCCATCCTTAGACTTCTCAATGCTGTCATCGGACTTTGTTGTATTGTCGCAACGCCCTTTATTAGTTTCGTTGCTGACCGCTGGGGCCGTCGTTTTGGCATCTTCTTTGGCGCTGTCATCATGTTGATTGGCGGTGTGATTCAGGGTGCTTCTATCAACAGTGAGCCTTGTCGCCAGCGCCTTGAATACTTTCACTGACGGAGCAGTCGCAATGTTCGTGGTGTCACGTTTCATCATCGACTTCGGGCTGGTTTTTGCCAACACGTACGCACCAATGTTGATTGGAGAACTGGCTCATCCGAAGGACCGGCAGGTCATCACCTCGCTGTACCAGACATCCTGGTATCTCGGTGCCATTCTAGTCGCATGGACGTGAGTTTTGCTTCAAAGAAAATGTTGATGATATGTATTGTCTGACTTCAATCCAACACATTCGGAACGTTCACAATCCCAAACGACTGGGCCTGCCGTATTACCTCCTACCTTCAGGCGGCCCCCGCATCGATTCAAATCGCAGGTGTCTGGTTTCTCCCCGAATCACCCCGTTTTTTGATCACACAGGGTAAGGCTGAGAAAGCCAGGGACTTCCTCTTCAAGTATCATTGCAACGGCGACGACGAGTCGCCCCTGGCCGATCTGGAGTATCGCGAGATGCGTGCCGTGATCGAGGCCGAAATAGCGAACAATACCGGCTGGCGTTCTCTGCTCAAGACCCCTGGTAACCGCCGCCGCATCCTCGTCCTTGTCCTTCTCGGCCTGTTCTCGCAATGGTCCGGCAATGGTCTCGTCTCGTACTATCTCGTGCGTGTGCTCGAAACAGCTGGCATCAACAACAAGCGCCATGTCAACATAACCAACGGCTGCCTCATGATCTTCAACTGAATCACTGCTGTTCTTTCCGCCTTTGCCACCGGCCGTGTCCGCCGACGCACACAGCTCATCATCTCGGTAGCGGGCATGCTTGCTGTTTTCAGCGCGCAGACGCTCTGCGCGGGGCTCTACAACGAGCACGGCATCAAGTCAGCAGGCTACGGCGTCCTGGCCATGTTGTTCTTATTCTATATCTTCTTCAACTTTGCCTTCAATGCTCTGCTGTACTCGTACCCGGTCGAGGTTCTGCCTCGTCCTATCAGGGCTAAGGGCTTTTCGGTCCTCATGTTCTCTAACAGAGGGTCAAGTTTCGTCAACGGATTCGTCAATCCTATTGGGCTGCAGGCCCTGGGATGGAAGTATTACATCGTGTACGTTGTGTGGCTGGTCGTGGAGCTGGCATGCGTGTACCCTTTCTTCCCCGAGACGTCTGGGTGCAGTCTCGAGGCCATTGCTGAGGTATTCGATGGGCCCCTTCTCGTCGATGCGGAGAAGACGCGGTACGACAACGGCCTGCAGGATATCAAGAAGGACTAGCTAGCTAGTTGGACGAGAGTTATACTAAAGCAGACGAAATGCAGAATTGGGGCGTGGCTGCAATCAATCCGTAATCCAGGTTGGCGTGATTCTAAGCTCCGATATCACCATCGACGAAATGGAGCTTTATGTCGTGTGCGACAGTCTGCATGACTCGCGGCCAACCTCAACCTCAATCATGCCTCGAAACGCCTGTACATCGTGCCGGTAGGTGCTCGACGATCGACTTCAACACGATACCGGATTCTAACCCTGATCAGCCTGAGTAAGGTGAGATGCCTCTCCCAGCGCCCCGGCGACAAGTGTAAAAGATGCACGTCTCGCAACACAGCATGCTCGTACGTCCACGCACCGCAACACTATCCCTCCCCTTCGTCGGCATCACCTCAGTCGTGCTACGCACTTCAGCACGAGACGGTCGGGCTGGACATTGGCCGCGGCAGACCAGAAGAGATACTACGCGAAGCTCAATTTGCACAGTCCCTCCTGCTTCTCTACTTTAGCAACTTTGGCGACGTCCACTTTCTCTTCGACGAAGAGGTGTTCCTACGCCGCTATGCTCTGAGCGAGGTCTCGGAAATGGTGCTTTTCGCCATGATGGCGCTGAGCATTCGATTCTCTGTGGCGCCATTCCGCGAGGCACTGTCGCCGGCCCACCGGGGTGAAATCTTGTTCGAACACGCGAGGAGCCTTGTCCAGGAGGAGTGGGACCGGCCCTCTATCGCCGTGGCGCAGGCATATGTGCTGCTTGCAACATACAAACTGGTGTACGGCGGGGCACGACAGGCGTTTCTCTATCTTGGTGGGTTTGGAAGTACTCTATCCTGTTGACTGGGCTGACCAAAGGCCAGGCTTCGCTGCGAACATGGTCAAAGTCCTTCGCTTGCTAGACACAAGTGCAGAAATTGACCCTGTCCGTCTTGAGTGCAGCCGCCGACTGGCATCGACCGTTGCCCTCATGGATCGGTTTGTGTCGCTCATATTACGCTTCACACCGCATCTAACAGAGAGAATACCCACAATGATGGCGGACGACGACTTTTGGGCGCTCAAGAGAAGGGAGCCGATCATGCTTTGCCGCAAGACTTCAGTCAGCCAAGAGATTGTCAATTTGTCCGAGCTTCTTGTTGTGGTATCGAGACAGAACAGTAACTTGGCCGACCTCAGGACCAGCTTTAGGAATCGGTGGGCCGATGAGCCACTTCAACAGTACACCACCACAAATCTCGAATATCATCAACAAAAAGATAGCCTCCGCAGTTTCTTGCACATGCACATATTATACCATCATATCGGCCAATTGCTCTACTTTTCCAATCTCGGGCACGAATGCCACGCCCACGCTCGAGCGACTGCGGATATTGTTGAGTATGCCTGGAGGCAAGGGGATTTTGATATACATAACTACATGGCTGGGCAGATTTTGACCCTTGCTTCCATCGTTCTTAGTCACGCACTCCTTATCGAGCCTTCTACGGAAGACGAACGACGGAAGGTGTGTATCAGGCAGACTGTCGCACGCGTGAGGCATCACACGCGAATGTTCAATTGGGTGGTGAGGATCCCCGGCTGTGGTCTCGTGAGGACTACGATGATACTGACTGGTGTAGCATCAATGTCTGGACGAATGGGAAGCAAAGACCACGACCTTACAAGTATTTGAGAAAGATGGTCTGCTGGATGAGATCACATTTCTTGGCAGCCAATTCGAGAAGCTTGATTATCGTAATGCTGGTAGGTACTCTGGCTGAACAGCCAATGCTGAATGCTTCATAGCTCACGCAACTAGGGTATCGTCATGGACCCCCGCACAATCATGTGATCTAATGATGTACATCAGCATCTATTTTTGGGTTGGATTGAGCGGTTACATGTATGTCTTCTGGTAATTTGAATGACGAGGGCACCTCAAGCGCACAAGACAATAGTTTTGCTTTACTCAATATGTTTAAGCCATCATAACTGACATCATCCCGAAGTCTCTGGTATGTATCCCGTTACAAACCCAGTCTCACATCGGCATCGAGATTGCTGGCTGTCACCCAGCCTCAGCTTCTGGGCACCGAAATGGATGGTCGGCTGAGGCGACCGAATGACAGGTTTATCGAAAACTGGGGAAAGACTGGGGAAAACCGTAGCAGATGCTCCGCGAACCATGCATGACAGGACACGCAGAAGGATTGATGCGGCTCTGGCCTTGTAGGTAACGTCATTCATCGAGGCAGTAGGCCCCGGATCATATTCATCTTGGTATCAACGCTCGCTAACTCCTCCATTTCCCCTCCCGGTTCCCATTGTAGTTTTCAACATGCAAACGTCATCCGTCTAAGGTCTTGTAATAGCCGTTCTCCGTCCAAATGTATCTCTAACCAACGACCCGGCGCCACAGCTCCTTACGCAGCGCATCCACCATCTGATGTGTCCTCTCAACAGCACCCTTGTTCTCGATGGCCCGGCGATGCAGGTAGCCCAGGCACTCGGACACGGACCCCCAGGCCATGTACTTGAACGCCTTGGGCACCTCGGCGGCACTCATTGTGCCCTCGCGCGTGCACTTCTCGTAGTTCTGCACGAGCTCGCAGCTCAGCTCGTCCGCCATGCCGACGAGCTGGCCGCACTCAAGGCGCGCCGTCGGCAGGCCGGCGCGCACCCTCTTCATCTGCGTCTTGAGGGCGAGCATGGTGCTCGGCCCGTTGTGCGTGGCCAAGAACAGCGCAGCGGCGGGGAACTTGGCGTCGGGGGCGCAGCCGTTGGGCATGCGCTGCGTCAGGAGCATATCGGCAATGTCGTCGAACATGGCGTCGGTCTCCTCCTTGGTGTCGTGGATCAGGGAGCGCGTCTCGTGCTCGATGTAGGCGCCGCGCACGAGCTTGATGCCGACAGCCCAGCCCTCGGCCGCGGCGAGCCGGATGTGACGGTCCGTGTTGGCCTTGGACGCTTTGAGGTAAGCCTGGATCGTGTTGAAGACGAGCGGTGCGGAGAGACCGGCATTGTGCTTGCGCATCAGGGCGATGGTCCACTTGTCGACGCCTGGCTGGAGAACCTGTTGCTCGGCGTCGATCCAGAGGTGCGAGCCCTGGGCGGCAGTGGCGTGGCAGATCTCGTCAAGGGCGGATTGAATGGCGGCGGGGATGGGCTTCCTGGCGCGGAGAGCGTCCACAGCGATGGGACCGGCACCAGTGAGTCTGCAATGATGTTAGTAGTCTTTTCTCGTCGACATAGCAATGGGGAAGAACTTACTTGAGAGCGAGGAAATCTCCCTTTTCGAGCATTGGCAGGGTGGAGAGGGTGCCCTCCTTCCACTTGGTGATCATCTCATAGCACTCCGGCGCGTACTGCTTCTCGCCTTCGGCTTCGATTGCCTTGGCAGCATCGGCACTGAGGACGATCTCCTTGGCGTGGTTCAAGATGATTCCCTGGTACCCAAACTTCTTGAACTCGGCGACTGATCGCGCGACCTCTTGGCGGTTCGTGCCAGCACAGAACTGGTCGTAGATGGTCCATCGCAGGATCTTGTTGAGGATGGGGTTCTTGTCGGGGTTAAGTAGTGGTGATTTAGACTTGACGATGAGGTTCATGATGGCTAGTGATGGCCGCATGATCCATTCCGAGGACATACAGGATGTGAGAAGGAGAGAGCGGATGAGAGTTGTCGTGGGCATGCGTGAAAGCGCCGGTGGTTCGGCGGCTGGTGGCGTGCTCATCAACGCGTGGTGAGACTCTGGTGTGTTGAGCATGTTGCTGATGAACCTCCTAGGCTCACTCTTGTTGAATGCCCTTGATAGGGGAGCGCCGAGGCGCCTTGGTGCAACATATAGCGAAGACATGTTGTGTGTGACAGGTTTGGTGTGGTTATGACGGGAGCATAGTGGTGGGGGGTGGGCGCCCAAGGGGTCTTCTATATAGCCCGGGTGGAGGCATCATGGTCACGTCAAATTCGTTAGCCTTTTCGGAACTGAAAGATAAGACGGTCTCGGTCTCGTTGTTTCGTTTGTGCTTGTCACACAAACAAATGGCGGCGGGTGGCCGTCACGATCGCACCGATGGGAGCCGATAGCAGGACAGAGCCACACTCGGATCAGCGTCCCGACTCTTGCAGCCCATCTGTAGTGGGCTTGATAAGCTCCGATCGGAGCACACTTCCGACCACACGTAACGCCGCGCTGAGACAGCGCTGCAGGGACCCTGCGTCGGGATCCGATGCGCGGCCGAAGGCGAGGGAGGCTCAGAGTCAGAGAGTGCTGGATCTGCTGCGTTGCTTGGTCTTGTGACACCCACCACGTGGTACGAATGTCCCAATGCCGCCCTCAGAGGCCCCTGTTTGGCCCCAAGTTCTGCGCCTCAAGCTGTCTATCCGCCCCCTGGCATGCTATCTCCCAGTCGCCGTTTTCGGCTGGGGGCTGGGGATGTCTGGCTGAATGAGGGAGGCGACACTTGGAAGCGTCCTGTCAGCGGCATCCGCATGATTCTAGCTGCCTATCTGGCCAGGTCCCCGGCAATGGCATCCATGGAGAGACCGGGATTTGCGGACCTTCCCTTCCTGAGACTGCTTTGGCATTCGGGATGATGCGCTTTGTCGCGGCAGGTTCTGGGGCAGAACCCAAAATTGGAGGCATCGTGACCTCGAAAAAAAGTGCCGAGCTGGGTGGAGGCATCGGGATCGGAATGCTAGGGCGTGTGCGCCTCCGACCTTTCCCCAGAGTTTACTTAATTGTTTGTCTTTCCCCATTTTGGACGACCCAGGGCCCTCAGTCCAAAGGCCGCGAGCTCCGATCGTAGGACATTCTAGTCCGGCCACCCTGTGGAGTGGCAATGCTACATTTTAGCTGTCAAGCACTTGGCTAGCGAAGATAAGAGTGACGCCATGACGAGACCACCTTGGATGACGAAGAATGCGACGTCAGCCCTGTTGTAATTATTCGCGACTGCTGCAGAACCCCTATTGACCACGCTGGCTCGGAATGGCACTCCGTGAAGCTTCCTACCACAGTGAACGACTGTCCGAATGGCGAACACGGCTTTCCTAGCCATCCATTCAGATGCCCAAGACCTACCAGAGATCGACCTTATCTTCACCCGCCAAGTCGAAGGAATCCTTAGCCCGAAACCTGGTAGCGTAGGGCTGCATGCAGGTTCAGAGCCCAGGTGGTAACGCCAAGGTGCTGCGATACCAAGCTTCTTGCTCTCTGATCAGTTACGTGACGAGTCCAGTGTCGCGCCTGCTACTTCGCTCTCGACTTTATGGTCGTGTATCCGACACACGAATGTAGGCACGAAGCCTTGTTCTAGGTCTGCCAACATCTAGGTTCGTCAAAGTGGCCAATCATTTATTCGCTGATTCGCCTAACCTGTGACAGCTGTGCATGCTGTGTCCTGATTAGAGAAGCCTTATCATCACCGCTGTTCCATCACCCTGATTGACTGTCTCAGACCTGTTGAGGTGCTGAAGGGGACTGATAGATCGACCAGATACGTTATCTTTCGTTGTCCCTGATCCTCTGTGTGTCTCTGCTCGATCATTTCCCATCACATCCTCACACAGGGCCTAGATTGGCGGATTGGCGCCGTGTTACGAGCTTGGCTGCCGTGGAGGTCAACCACGGCCGATTGAGCGCAGATCTGAGGTCGAAGTAGATCTCGTCTTATCTCCTGAAGCTCGCTGCAAGCCTCACCCGTCTTGGGTGTTCAGCTCCCAGCTCCCAGCGTTCAGGCCTCCTCAACACCGTGGATATATCTGGCTTGCGCCAATGATAGGGGTCTACCACCTGCTGCAGCGCTAATCCCAAACGAACCGTCCTCTGCCGATCTTGTCCATCGAGTGTCCCGTGCTCGCTGAGCGAGGCATCATGCCCAGATCAGACCCTGGATTCTTCTCCCCATCTGCTTCTTGCTTTCGTGCCTCCAACAAACGAAGCTGTATGGTTCCTCGCCGATATCTAACGTTGCAATGAGCGATAAGTGCGCGCCTCTCCCGACGATGCGAAGCCCGCGCGACAAGCCTGGCCCAAAGCGATGGGGTAATCAGCGGGTCGGCGCCGTTCTGGCCATCGCGTCGGTTGCGGCCTTAGTGCTATTCTGCGGTCAGCGGAGTCCTTTCGGCTTGGTAGTGGCCCCTCTGGGTGGTACTGGTTCCCCTGTTTCCCCAGGCCCACGACCTTCTGGGTGGAGTTGGTCGGACGTGAGTTTGTGCCTCCACTGTTTGCTGTCCCCTGTGATTGATGCCGTTGTCAGATCGAGCCGAGTCGGACGCTAGAATGGCATGCCTGCTTCGAAGATGGGCAGCATGACTGCGCCAGATTGGACGTGAGTATCCTGCTGTCCTTAATCGACGGCTAGCTATTAGGCTGCTGATCTGGTGAAGGTGCCGATGGACTGGCAAGACCCTCGAAGTGAGCGAAGGGTTGTGTTGGCGATTGCTCGAATACGTGCCACGGATCAAACTGATTACCGAGGGCCCGTCATCTTTAACCCTGGTGTAAGTTGGAAGCCCATCTAATCACCTCTCCATGGCTGACCGCACAAGGGTCCTGGCGGTTCAGGAGTGTGGTCATTGCGGAACCACGGCAAGCTGCTTCAACAGATTGTTGGTGAGAATCATGTAAGTGGCCTCAAATGCATCGTACCCTTCCAGTATTTTCACACATCCATGCTGAAATGCGCAGGACATCATCAGCTACGATCCTCGCGGTGGTCAGTCAAATCCATGTTCCAATTTCTTCTCAATTCCAGGGGACCTAACATTGTCAGTTGGCGCATCCACGCCCCGCCACCAGTGCTGGGAAACTCCCGAGCAAGAAAAGTCTTGGAATCTCCGCGACCCCGGCGTCTTCGACTCTCATGCCGGCATCATTTCAGATCTCTATGTTCGTGCGACTGCCTACTCCCAGGCCTGCGAGCGCGCCATGAACGACTCAGAACTTCTGCGGCATTCTGGCTCCGTCTCTGCCGCCCGGGACCTGCTCGAGATTGTGAACCAGGGATCCCACGACAATCTCAGGTATTGGGGCTTCAGCTACGGAACAATTATCGGTGGCGTTTTCGCTGCCATGTACCCTGACCGCGTAGAGAGGCTGGTCAGCGACG